ATTTTTAGAATAAATGAGATGAAAATTAAAAAAACTATAATTTTACAGTAAATTACAAATTCGAGGAAAACCCCTATTTTTTCTACAATAAATAAGGCAAATACTTGAAAATCCTCTTTTACAGTTAATAAGATAATGCCCCAAAAACTGTTCTTCATAGTAAATAAGATATAGATTCTCTTTTTATAAGTTGTAGTATCAAGAAATATCTCTTAACGGTATATAAGTTCAAAAATTTATATTTTTGAATTGAATGAAAAATAGGTTAATAAATCTCCTTACAAAAAATTTCTTTTTTTTTTTTTGCAAAAAAAAAGAGATTAAGTCACAAAAAATGTTAATAAAATAACGTTCATAAAACTATCCTTCAAAGTAAATATGTAAATTCAAGAAATTATCTTTTTAAATAAGCTATAGATTCAAGAAACTACCTTTCTACAGTATGTTTACAAATTCAAAATTTTATCTTTTAAAATTGAATAAGGAATAGGTTCATAAAAGTCTCTTTTCCAGTAAATAAGATAAAGGCTCAAAAAACTAATTGGTACAGTAAATAAGGTCTATGTTCACGTAACTTTCAGTTCAGAAAAATAAAATATGAACTTAAAAGTAAATTTTGCTGAACATTGGAAAAAATGAAAAATACTAGAACAAAATTAAAAGAAAAACTACAGAAAAGTTTATTTATTAAATTACGAATATATTATGCAAATTTAACTTAATTATTGGAAATCATACTAAAGTGTCAAAATTTTCTTCTAAAATTTTTTTCTGAAACTTTTATTTAATTCTGCTTAAGAAATTTGATTAAAACTTCTTTTGTTTTTTACTTTCATAAATTTCGTGATTAGAACGTATTCCTAAGATTAACAGCTGGTTTATTTTCAAAGCTTTAAAACACAGAATGAAGGTGCCGCTCTGGAACATAAAAAAGGCAATCTTTAAAATATTCTAAGAAAATGCTACAATCTTGGCGAGGTAGTAATTTTTACATATTTTTAACCAGTAAAAAAAAATCTGCAGAAAACTCTTTTATTTTAACTTTTTTTTCTATCTTTCTTTACGATATGCTTCGCTTTTAAGAAACTCATTTCTTTTTAGAACAGCTTCAGCGCATGATTTTAATTTGCGAATTAACTTTCCTTCATAGAGACAACCTAGGATATGCAGTTTATGTCGCCAAGCTTAAATGCTTTTACAAGAAAAAGAAAACTGAGATTTTTCTTGACATGTAATAATTACTTTAATTTCTTTTGAGACGAGGACTTTGTTCGTGGGACCATGATTATAAGATTTAATTCCTTTTGCATGGAATTAACACCTTCAAACCAATTATAAAAGTGCAAAATGAAATTGTACAAGAGTCATTATTATAAAATTTGATTCATTTCGCAAATAAAAGAAACATACCAATTGTAAAAATGACCAATAAATTTTTACAACAATCATGATTAAAGCGTAAATAATTTTCCAGTGAATCTAAAATTGTTTTTTTTTTTTCCAACGTCAACCAGGGTTGACATTTAATAACTTTAGGCGTATTGGAGTAGATTTGTTAGTCACTCTTTCAGGGGCACTATATTAGATTTTGCAACGTAGCTCCCACAGTAAGGACAGATGGTACAGAGAATGGAAGAACATCCATGCTTTGTCCGGGATTCGAACCCGGAACCTTTATGATGCAAGGACAGTTCCCTGCCCCCTACACAGGCCGGTCGGCGCGTGTTTTTATGTAAAAAAACTTTATTTTCCTCTGAAATTAGCGAATGACGTGCTTCGCCGCTTCTGAAATTTAGACATTCATGGAAACAATGTAAAGTTAAATTGATCAAAAGAATATGAATCATATTAAATCGGGTAAATAAAAAGGTTATCAAAATTTTCTAATCGTTCATGATGAAGGTGGATTGAAAAACATCAAAATTAATTGAAAATCACTGTCTAATGAAACTTAAAAGTGTATATTATAATCGCCTTTCAAAAGTTTTCTGTTTTCTTCGAATTGCCTAACAAGTTATGTTGCTTTGAGTCCTGCGTTACACAATAGTGATTCGCTCGATTTCAATAGCTTTTTTTAGTTCAAATTTTATCTTGAATTTTTTACATTACGTGTGTTTTTTT